TCCAAGTATCCGGTGTGGTGCTCCTGGCAGAAGACCAAGCAGCAGGCGAAGACAGATGACTCCACACGGTACACTGGCCTGGATGCCTTGCTAACGGCAGCCAAGTCTCCCTCATCCCTCTGAATATGTGGTGGCAGCAGGGGTGGGGCAGGAAGGAGAGGAGAGACAGCCTCGTGCAAGCACACATGCAAGCAGACGCCCTCATGGACAGTCTTTGGCAAAATATTTACTCTTGCAAATACGTATTTTGTACACTTATTGTTAAATAAAACCAGTTGGCATTTTTGAGCACTGACCAATATCTGGGAGAAGAGAAATGTGAAAACTGACAGGTCAATTCAAGATTCAAAACTTGCCATTAGATAGTTCATCCTGCAAACACTTCCGAAGAAGTATCCCTATGGGCCAGGCACTGTGCTACACCCAGGAATGCAGACATAATAAGAAAGACACAGATCTCCTAAGGTGTTCGGCAGGGGAGGGACCTGTGTCCCAGAAAGCTTTGTACATGGATTCCGTCTCTAGATGACAGATGAAGGAGAAAGTCATCAATTTCTATTTGTCACTAATGTGAAAGACCAACTGATTGCTTATATGGGTGACTCAATTTGGCAAAGAGATCAAGAGTTACACACTGCTCAGAATCTCATAAATCACATCACGTGGTCACAGTATGAAGGGGAGCCCACTACCCAAAAAAACCCACAGTGAGTCCTCGGCAAGGCACAGGATTCTGTTGGTATATTTGGATCTTGGTGTGTCCGATATATTTAATACATAGCAGAACAGGATAAGAAAACCAGTGCTTTTTATTCCTCCCCCTTGCCTCCCCCAATTCTTTTATTATCTTCATCTTCATAACATTTGAATGTTCTATGTTTAACATTCTCTCTGCAGGACTTGGAGCTCATTGAGGGAAACCACCTCAGTAAAAAATGGGAGTTATAAAGGGCTTGGGGTCCTAGTAAGGCGGAGTGTCAAATAAATCCAAGCTCTGGCTGCTTCACCTCACGGGGGAAACTTCAACAAGAAAGAGGTTCAATGGCTACAATAACCTGCTGATGTCTAGTGCCACCCACGCTGATCAGGACTCTGTACCACCCTGAGCAAGCCTTTCAAATCCCCAGGCCTCAGTTTCCTCATCTGTCTGATGGACTTCGTCTGGGTCCTTAGGAAATTATTTGGGAGTAGAAGAATCAAAAAAGAGCAATAGACTAGAAAAGCAATAATGATTCCATCTTTCAATTCCTTTGCCAGATAGAACACAATATAGTTAATGTGACTGCTGTGATAATGGGATAATCCCACATGTCTCCAGGGGTGTAGAGCTGCAGTACAGCAAAGCAGAAAGAGAAGCTTTGGAGACAGGTTCGAATTGCAGCCTCTGTGTGACCTTAGATGAGTTACTTAAACTCCCCAAGCCTCTGTTTCTTCATCTATAACACCTGGTCATTAATTCTGATGTGAAGATTGCCCGAAATATGTGAAACACCTAGCACAGTGCCTGGCAGAGAGTGGGGTCTTTCCAAGTGGTAATTATTGGGGGGGTCATTATTATTTAGCACTGTGTCCTCAGTGTTGGCACACAGCACTCAATAAATACTTGTTGAGTGGATTCATAAATGAATAGTTGAATCCCCGTTTTTACCATTAGAGCCAAAACTTGCCTTAGAACCCAATCAGGATCTCCAGCCCGTTCCTCTTTTCCCTTTTAAGTAAGACAGATAGATGGACGTTTTCTCTTTCTCCTCCTTCTCCTTTTTCTTCTACCTCTTCCAATAAGTCTACCTCTTGAAGTACAGGGAAGACCAGAAGAAACTTTAGAACAATGATGCTGAACGTGCTCTTGGGAGACCACATCTCCCAAGGGCCGTGGACTCACCCACCCACCCATTCACTGAGTTTGTGTGATATGCTCACATACGTCAAGTGTCGGGACCTGTGTTACGTGGTCGATCTCCCTTGGAATTCAGAATCTGGTGGGAAAACGCCATAACACTCAGAGCACAACCCAGTGAGTGTGCTGGAACAGGGGAATGGGAGAATGGTTGGAAAGAGATGATCTGACTGCCACCAGCCCCGCCCCCTACTTGCTGTGTGACCTTGGCCAAATCACCACCCCCTCTGGGCCTCCCTCCTCATCTGCGAAATGAGCAGGTTGGAAAATGGAATCCATAGAATCCTACGGTTCTAAGATACGATGACGATCCCTTTAAGTCATGGAGGGCTGAAGAGATGGTGAGGGTGGTCTTCTCGGGGCACTTATTAACTGGCGGCTCTCACAGTCATCACTCAGAGGACCCAGAGGGACAGAAGCAGAATCAAAAGACATTTTCAGAAGACAGATGGCTGAAACAGGTTGACATATGTGTGAGAGTTTGGGGAATTTATGTGGGCAGCCTCACCATCATAAATAAAATCCCTTTCCCTCTCCCAAAGCCTCATTCGTTGAGTAAACACCGGACACTGTAATAGACAATTTGGCTGTATCTCCCGCCCCGCGCCTCACTTGAATGAAAACCAGCAGTCCCACGGCAGGGTAGTGGGCTCGCCACCTCTTTCCAAACATCCACGTTGTCACCAGCTGACAAGCGGGGCGGGGGTTGGAGCGGGCGGGGCAATTTATCTCCGAGATTCCCGGTCCCTGCGTGCAGCCTCGCTCTCGCAGCCATCTACTCTGAGGCTGGAGGTTTGGGAGGAGCCCCAGAAGAATCAAATGTGGGGAGAAGTGACCCGTGGGAAGTGGGGGAAGGAGCAGCAGCCCCTCCCTTTCCTGCGAGCCTCTGGAGGACTTGGGGGACCCGTCGCCATCAACGCTGGTCCAGCCCATCTGTGTGCAAGGCTGCCTGCCGCTAAGCACAGCTACTTGTGTTTTCTTGACCTACTTCTCCTCCCATCCCTGCCCTACTCCACATCCCCTCTGGAGTCCGTGTAATTAGCACCTTTCCGTCCATAAAGCTCCCGGCTCCCAGGATAACCAAGGAGACAGCAAAACAAGCCCTGGCATTGCTGTTGTGGCTTTTCTTTACTTTCCTCTCTCTTTATTGGCTTCACTCTGCTTCCTGGCCTCTGGAGACTAGGCCCAGTCTGACCTTGCCAGCCAGCAGGGCCCCTGGCTGGAGATCAGCTGGACGTGGCCTGGCATGAACCAGAACGAGTGCCAGCAGAGAGGACAGAACTGGACAAGCATTGTTCCCAGTGTGGGGATGGGAGCCTGAGGGGCCCTTTGAAGCCCTCCACTGTCGCACAGCAGGCCAGACAGGGATCTGTCAGCTCCACTTGCTGCTTCTCTCCCGGGGAACAAGTGTCAGGAGAGCCGAGGCCGCGAGGAGCTGCCAGTTCCGGCTCAATCCCTTTCCGCTTCCCATTAGCCACAAATGGAAATGGACGGGTGACCACTTTAGCCACTCATTTAGAGGAGAAAACCTCACAGCAAATGCTGAACAACGAGGCATCTTATAAATTACGCATCTTAAGGACATGAACTGTTTTATATTGCCGCTAAGCAGAATTAAATTAGGTTTTGAAGTTTCAGTAGAAGTGAATGGGGAAGAGGGAGGGAAGATTTTGTTTTTAATTCCTTTTTTCAAGTATGCAGAGTGGTGACCGAAGGCAGGATGAGGGGAAGAACTGAGTCACTGGTCTTTGTTTCTGATTCCAATCAGCTGCCACTGCATAGGCGCGGAGAGACGTGCCCATGCACCCACGACGGAACACGGAGTAGCTCGGGGACCTGCAGCTCAGCCTCTGGCCCATGATGCCTGGCCTTGCCAGGGCCTCCTGACCACCCACCATCATGCCCGTCTCTGGGACCTCAGAACCAGTCCTAACTGCAAGTAGAGGAATTCGGGAGCTTGCGGCCCAGTCCTTGGGTTCCTGCATCATGATCTTCATTCTAAATCATCCTCTAACCCTTTCAGGTTCAAGTTTAGAATCCTGCCTCACTCACAGGATCCACTTTCCCCCCTTCCCACCCCAGTCTGGGCAGAGGGGCTTCACGTGGGCCCCCGTCTGGATAACTTGCCTGGTGTTTGGGTCCCTCTAGGGCTGTTGCCTGGCCTTGCCCGGGGTTCCTGCCATTGGACTAATCTTCTTGTGACCAACACACCTGCCTGGATTTCTCACTGCTGTGCCTCACCTGTCTGTCCACTATGACTCCCTTCCCTATACACATGTACACACCCCAATCCCTGATACCCCACGTCTATCCCAGGCCATCAGATGACCACACAGTGTCTGCTGGACTGGACTGTGTCTCCTTGTCCCTACAGCTGGGGCCATGTCCCCAGGACCCGGATCAGCAGGCAGTGGCCCAGCCTGAAGTTAAGGAGCTTTGCTCAGTCTTGGAGGTGTTGGGGGGCAGGGGAGGCAGTTGATTTCTCAGGCACTCCTGGACCCCGGAAAGAGCCAAGTCTTCCACCAGGCACGGGGACGCTGATGGGGCCAGTGGCGGCAGTGCCTGCCCACACCCAGAACGGGCACCCCCATGACAGCAATGACAAGGGAGGGAGCTGGTGGACACATGCCACTGAAGTGCCCTGTCCTTCCCCTCCAGAACCAGGGCAGGGCGAGCAGACACCAAGGCAAAGGCCCTGCCAAGCAGCTGGGTCAGGGGCACCAAGAACACTTCATCTGAACACACCCTCCAGGAAGCCTTCTTGGATTGATCAGAGGAGAGAAGAGATGATCTCTGCTCTGCTCTCTAGCCCCTGGATTTGGAAGCCCCGTGGCCTTCACCTACAGCTGTGACCAGCTGAGTCCATCACAGACTGCAAAAGGCACTCAACATCGTTTTTCTCATCACAAGAGGAGCTGGGCAGCTTGAGCAGATTGTAGCTGTCAGCCTGTTGGCTGCCCCCCCCGCCACCACCACCCTTGTCCCAGCCAAACTCAGGGAGGGCAGAGTGCAGGGTCAGATGTCCCCTGCGGACACCTGGGGTGTGGAAGGGGCATCGCCCAGGGCTGGGCTGCCCCCAGGGTGCCGCAGGGGCAGCACTTACCAATCCTCAGGGAGTGCGGACTGCAGGCAACCATCACGAGCCACGTGGGAAGCAGCACCAAAGGCGCCCAGACGCGGGGCATCTTCTATGAATCCTCATGGAGCCCTCTGCTGGTCTGGGCATGACATAACTCTGCGGGAGAGCGAGGAGCACATGAGTAAGAGTCCTATCGGCCCAGGGGCCCGAGCTACCACCCACACGGCCTCTGTGGAGAGGACCAACACTCCCTCCACGAATCGCTGTGCCTGTAGGGGAGCTCCAGGCCGGCTCCAGGCCTCTGTCCTTCCTGCCTCTGCCCAGACTCACAGAAGCCTCAGGTTCTAAAGCCATCCCCCACCCCGACCGCCATCAAATCGGGGGCAGGAGGGTGTGACTGTGGTTGAATGATTCATAGGGCTCCACTTTTTTAAAAATGTCTAATTGGGGATGAAAACTTTCATCTGCTCTTAAGAACAGGAGCCATGGGTGAGCAGAAAAGGAGTGGGTGGGAAGGTTAGGCCATCGTCCCGGGCACGCCACATGCCCTGCTCTCTGGAGAGTGATGCTGGGGAAGTGATGGGTTCCAGTCCAGCTCCGCCACTTGCCAGCTGGGTGGCTTTTCTCGGTCACTCAACTCCATTTCCGCTCAGGTAGACTTGGCATAACAACACGTGCCTGGATGGGTTGAACTGAGGCCGAGGAGAACACAGGAGAGGCCTGGCCTAGAGCAGGGGCTACACAAATGTCAGCTCCTCCCTGGCCCAGATGGGAGAGGTCACTTCTCAGCAAATACTGAGGGCAGAAGCGCACATCCCAGTCATCAGCTGGTTTCCACATCTGCTGAAAACGAACCCTTCTCCATCCTTCCTCCACCAGCCCCTCTCCCTCCTGAGGCCGGGGTCAAAGCCAGAACCTTGAAGGAGCTGCCTCCCTGCAAGGCAGCATGGGTATTGTCCCTCCCTGAGACCTCCTGGCACCCTGAGATCAGAGTCTGCAGGCCACCAGCCCTGCCCCATCACTGGGGTGAGGGAGGGGCTGGTGAATATGCAAATATGCTAAACCAAGATCACCTTTGGTTAGGAGACTAGTATTAAAGTGATTCATCCCCCCACCTCCAGACAGACAATCCGATAGAAAAATAGGCAAATGACTAGAACAGACACTTCGGTAACGGTATATCAAAAGCTCTTGGAGCACACTTGGAAAGGTATTCAGGAAAATGCAATTTTTAACTGCAATGAGATATCATTATACACCCACCAGAATGACTTTAAAAAAAAAAAAGATACTATCAAGTGTTAGCAAAGATGTGGAGCAACTGGAACTCTTCTACTGTGTCAGTGGGAATGTAAGTCAACGTAACTGTTGTGGAAAACTGGTCTATTAGAGCTTTACACATACCCTAATGTCCAGCAGCTCTACAATAGGCATTTCCAGTAGAAATGCATGTATACACTCACCAAAGACATACTAGAACGTTCACAGCAGCACTCTTTGGGCTTGCCCAAACTGGAACCTAGCCAGATGTCCAGCAGCAGAATGGAGAGAGACATTGTCCATTCATACAATGGAATCTTATATGGAAATGAAAATGAACAATCAACAACTCCGTGCACCTGTGTGGATGAATCCCACAAACATAATGTTGAGGGGAAGAAACCAGGCACAAAAGAGTATTTACAGTATGATTCTATCCATAAAAAGTACAAATGCAGACACAACCATTGTGTGCTGTAAGAAGTCCAGCTAGCGATGACCCTTGCAGGCGGGGGGTGACTAGAAGGGGACACAGGGGGTGTTCTAGAGGTGCTGATGACATCCTGTTTCTTATTCCAGGTGCTGAGCAAAGTGTGCTCAGTTTGTGAAATCTTGTCGAGCTGTACGTATCTGATGATAATGTTCACTTTTCCGTATGTGTGTTATACTTAGTAAAGATTTTGTTTTATGACAATCCCCCCTCCCCACAGAAGCTCGGTGTTGCAGCCTGACCCAGTACCTCGCAGCTTCCTGCACACAACTAGGGCCCTCTACCTGCAGCGTGCTCCTCTCCCCCCGACCCTTGCCATGTGCCAGGAGCGGGTGCCTCTCTATGCCATCCCAGCAGTGCCAGCTTCTCAAGGGCCAGGACTGTTTCCAGTTTACTGCTGTATCCCCAGAGGTTATTTATACAGAACAGGTGCACAGGAGATATTTGTTCAATGGATGGAGGGTCTCAAGCCACTGCCTGCTATAAGGAGACAGAGGAGAATAAAGGATAAAGGATTGGACTGCTGCAAACCTGAAACTAACAGAACATTGTAAATCAACTACACTCCAATAAAAATTTTTTTTTAAAAAAGGATAAAGGATTGGAGCAAAGGCAACTCTGCTGTTGGCAAATCAGGCCCAGAATCTTTGTCCCTTAATCCATGGGTGCCGATGCAGGAAGAGATGAAAGCAAACACAGTCTCAGGGGAAGCTTGGCATTCTTACCCGTTATGGGTAAAGTCGACTGTTCAGTGACTGTCTCCCCACTAGAATTCAAGCTCGATGGATGTGGGACACGAACAGAAATCCTGTTTGTCTGTCTTCTCAGGGCCCAGAACGGTGCCTGGCATATATTACAGCCTCAATAACTATTTGTTGAGTGGCAAAATGAATGGACTGTCAAAGAGGAAAGAACTGTAAAAAAATGGCTAGGCTATATAAAAATAATACTACATATAATCATTTCTGTCAAATGCCTTCCATTTATGCCCAGTCAGCCCGCCGCACAATAATTATTATGCAGACCGCTAAATAGGTTTCAGATTAGCCTGCGTAAATTTTATTTGATGACAGAACTACACTTAATCCATGCAGGCCTGACAGTCATTGTTCATGGCCCTAAAGGCTGGCTGATCCTGGAGACCACATGTAAGGACAATGGCTGAGGTTTTGGGCAGCTCTTGGATACAAAGACGAGAAATAATCTCCTCCCAAACCTTACAGGGATAAAAAGAACGATCATGTCACATGTCTGTAAGGCACAAGGGCTTGCAAAATTCTTTCCATAGTCTTTATCTTATTTAATCCACAGAACAAGCTCTATTATTGACAAGGAAGCTGAGCTCAAGAAAGGTGCCTAGCTCAAGGTCAACACAGCCCTTACGAGGCAAAGCCAGGGCTAGCCAGGTCTCTGACTTCGCTGGGTATTCTTCTGTCACTTACTTATCTGCATATGAGAGCAGATCATGAAGCTTCCAGATTCTTTAACAAAAAACACAAAGAAATTTGAGGTCTTCTTTTCAGTTTAATGTTTAGACGAAGCTGGTCTTAGAACCTAACTGTGCAGCCTTTATTAACTGAAAATAATTTAATAATTTAGGAATAAAAAAAGAAATTTTCTAGAGGTAGAGCACCTACACCCTCTTCCCACTAACATCACTCCTGGGGAATTTCACCTCCACCCACGAGTTATTTCCACCTGCACGCTGCGGCTTCTAAGTCAGCATCTCAAGCCCAGAATCAAGCCCTGAACACCTGCACTGAGACGGCTTCCTCCTGAAACCTCCAGCTGGATTCCCCACAGCATTTCAGACACGCCTCATCCTAAGGAGGAGGTCTCCTCTCCCCCGCTCCCGCCATCTGCTTCTCCTCCTACGTCCTCCTTCTTAGTGGGTGGCACCATGATCCACTAGTCACCCAAGCCAGAAAGCTGAAAGGCACCCTAGAGCTCTGCTCCCCACATCTACTCAGTCAGCAAGTCCCAACAGCCCTGCCTCCATCACCACCGACCCGCCGCAGTCCAGACGTCCGCCAGCAGCAACCGGGACTCTGCGACAGCAGCCATCTTGGTCGCCCTCCCTCTGGCCTTTCCCTCTCCGTTGGTTCTCTGCTGAGTGGTCAAGGGTTCTTACCCAAATGTGAACTTGATAATGACATACCCCCGCCCCAAAGTCTTCCATAGCTCTCCACTGCACTGGGGATCAAAAGCAAATTCTTAACGCCAACAGATAAACCCTTCACGACCTGCCTCCTGCCTTCCTGTCTCTACCACCCACCCCACTGCCCCGGACCTTCCGCAGAGCTCCCTCAGCACCCACCCTTTGCCTGTGCCCGGACTGCAGTCTCACCCCGTAATGGCCCGAAACTGCGACTTCCAGGCTCACCGCATTGCCTCCCCTCTGAGGCTTTTTGTGATCCCTTTCCCATCTGCTGCCACCAAACCTTGAACATTCGTCATTAGGGCACACACCCTGCTTATGACGATGCTGCCTGTCTCCCCACAGAACGGTCAGCTGTGAGGCAGGGGCCGTGGCAAGCACCGGCACACTGTCCGGCACACGGTACGTGCTCTACTAATATTGGCTGAATGAAATCGATGAACAGATGGTGTCAAAAAGGCATTTTCTGAGTTTACACCAAGATGAAGTAAATTCCCAGTCTGGGTTGTACATTTCGTATATTCGCTGTGGTTAATACAAACAATCTAAGCAGACAGAATGTTCTAGATAAAGGCAAAGGGTCATCACATCAATATATGTTGAAAAGGGGAGGGAAGCATTTACTGCCCTTCTCTTCTGTGCCTGGGGCTTGGACTGACCGTCACAGTTAAGGACACGGGTTTGAGTCCTGCACTGCCATGTAGTAGCTATACACCATGGGCAAGTGAGTTAACTTCTCTAAACCTTGATTTCCTCATTTGTAACATGGGAGTGATAAAAGTACCCTCGCAGAATCATTATGAGGAATGAGGACAAAATATGTATCCTGAGCTGCTCGAAGTAATTAACTGTTCATGACTATCATTCTAACCCTATAAAATAATATTGCACGCCCACTTCACAGATGTGGAGGGTGAGGCTCAGGGAGGCTCGGTCATTCATCCAGGGTCATGCAACTAAAGCAGTAGTGCTGAAGTTCAAATTCAAGAGTCTAACCATGTGCAGTCACAAATCCCAGGCTCCTTCTTCAGCTAGAGTTGAATACGGAGGCACTGGCAGAATTGAAGTCCAAAGTGGGCATAAAAATATGGCTTCTGGTTTCTGAGGGTCTCTGACAGTCCCCACCTAAACGGAGCCGGTCTTCAATCCTGTGCTTTAGGTAACTCAAAAGGCAGAGAGAGTCTAAAGACAGAACTTTGCCATGCAACTGAGGACGCTGTTCTTGACATCCTAGGGCAGCCATGACAG